TATTAAATTATGCTATTTCATTCCTAATACAAACATCTTCTGTTGTGTAATATTACGGCTCCCCGGTGATAATTACGTGCTGGGGTATTTTTTTTTTTTTGAAAAGTTAGGATATTTTTTTTATATATGGCAAAAGTTGCTCAAGATGAACTCACTATTATTTAGTTCCAATATATTGCTGAATATATTTGAAAATAATAATGTTAAGGTGATCTGATTAGCTTAAATGATGCGCATGTGTTTCTTCACGAAGACGCCGGCAAATGAAGTCGTTGATGTGTGTGGTCATTGGGGACGGCTCCTCGTTCGTCGTGGGCATCAACGATGTCAAGAAGGTTGCGCATCTAAAGGAATAGATCCAGAAGAAGAAGCCGTCGGTCATTAAGTGCGATGCGGACCAACTGACTGCTTTACGTTGCGAACAAGGGGGAGAATTGGCTCACATCGGATAAAGACTGGTTACCGTCGCGAGCCCCGAACGTGAAGCTGTTAAAGCAAAAACAAACTCCCGTTAGAATCAGTACGATTATGACTGAGACCAGAGAGATGGACCCAGCAGATGAGATTGGTGACATGTTTGCAAGTGCGCCGACAAAGAAGGTGATTCACGTGCTGGTAAAAGTGCCAGAAGCTGCCGTTGGTGCTGTGAACGAGACATTGTCGACAGCGCAAATGGTCAAGGAAATTCACGAGCAAATTGTGCAGACCAAGCGAAAGCGATACGTCCATCTGGAGATGAGCTCAAATAAGGGGCTCGCTCTTTTGCAAGACCTGAATATTCGTGTGGTGCCGGCGCGCTCGGTTCCGTTAACTTCCGAAGACCAAAATCCAGTTCAACCATGCAGATGAGAAAATGTGCGCGATGAGCGTGGCCAAGTAGTTGTGCTCACTGAGGAGCAACAACGCGAAAGATATCGGGAGTACGTGGAAGACAGCATTGGCGACGTGCTCACGATAAAGCAGCTTTGCGTACTCGGTTTGGAAGAAGACAAGAATCATCTCAGCGCTGCTATCCCTGGTCACGATGTTGATCTCGTTGGACGCACGGATATACTGAGCGATCTTGCAAAGCAGTTCCCGACCCACTTAGAGTTGTTACCCGAAGTGAAGATGCTGATCGAAGTGAAGAGGAAGGTGAAAGGAGGCGCCGTCTTCCAGGCCTTGCCGGAGATGATTGCGCTGGATGTTCTCGTTGATGACCCAGTGATGGCACTGTTGACTGACTTTACTGGGTATTGGCAGTTCTTCTGGGTTTCCGAAAGACACGACAACCATGTCATCATTCAAACAGTGATTATACCTGTTTCAAGCACAGCGTTTGCAGTGAATAAGACTCTACTTGCGCAATCGCCGTCTGCAAATGCAGAGATCAGTCTTCCGTGCTTTGCAGAACCAGTGAAACGACGCAAGCTGGTGAATGTGCTGCCATCGATCAGCAAAGGTGGTGAAAGTGGTATTTGTGCTGCTATCGAACGATACTACGATATCGCAAGCGTGTTGGGTTTCGACATTGAGATGGTGCGTGCTTTAGCGAACCAAGTCGCTCGATCTATCCCCGTTTTCGCAAACTCCACTTTAGGTTATTTCAGCTGACCATATAGTAATGTAAAATAACCAGTCATGATGTTCCAAAATTTACTGTGGTGCTTCAATTTTGCAGTGAATCAATTTAGGTTAATTTTTTTTTTTCAATACCGGATTTTGATGACTACAATCACTTAGGTGGTTTTTGAATTGAAGTGTTGGTTTGGTACAATGTACTCATGTTCGGAACTTTTAAAAGTAGTGAAGTAAGATAACTACACCAGCTCTGGTGACACTTGAACAAATGCGTCGATTTGGGACTGTGTCAGATAGGATTAAGTAACATTCCGCAATATTTCTCCTAACGTACGCTAGTGGACGAACTGCATTGATTAGGATATATCGTCCGCTCAAGAAGTGCATAAAATGGCATCAAGAGTACCCCTAGAACCCTAAAGAATGTGAGCTAGATGGTACATTGTATTGAAGTGTAAGGTCCACGTACGGCATGGTACGTACAATATGTCGTACAACTGTACAGCATTTTATTATGCACTTTTGTGCAATTGTGAATGTTCATCAATACCAAAGCATCGACATTGATATAGATGATGGGACTCCGTAAAGAAGCAGTCCGTGGTGCATTTGGGCCTCTAGCTGCATGTCATGCAGTTTAGTTATGATATTGTGTAAACTGCGTATATTTGGTATTAGTTTAGTCTCTTCAAGGAGATTCCTTCACCTCTGAGTTCCTCAACATTCCTGAAATGTCTACATACTTCTGTGATATAATTAGTACTTTGTAAGTTTTTTTCTGATGACTTGTTTTATTTCCTTGCATTAATCAGTACTTAATTAAGTGAAGAATGTCCCATTTCTATAACCTCGTTAGGGAGTAAGAGAAGAACCTTAAAGAATGTCATGAACCCATCAATTGAGATTCCTTAGAGGCAACAAAGAGCGTCGCGATGCGTGAATACACCGGAACGTTATATTCGGATGAAGAAAATTTGCTGTTTGTGACCCTAACGAATGACCAGACGCCTTGATAGTCCAAGTCCTTACAGCCAGCTGCAACTCAACTCCTCAGTGATGACCACCCGTATGCACTTGAATCTCAGCAAAGAATGTCTTTTACGGTGTAATAACAATTCTTATTGTACCAGATATTGGCTTCTGCTGCTATCTGGCGAAGATCATGACTCTTTCAATAGTTCTAGCACAATGTAACAGCATGTGGGTAAGTGAATGGTTAGGTCAGTGCTCATTAAAAACACAAATGAGAATATGACCACAAGAATGTACCATGTGTAACAATCATGACAAATGATAATGTTTAAGCTACAATGTAGAAACGAGATCGCATAGGAACATTCAGTATGGAAAGAGACTTTCACTACAAATGCAAAACTTCTATCCAATGTTCATGCATACGTAATGCCAAGCCAAGACGTAGACAGCAGCTTCATTATCAATGCATTTGGCTCTTCAGTAACCCTCTGGAGGATGTTAGCTAGGTAAAATTGGATCTATAAGAGTCAAAACTGCAGTTTGATACTGAATGAAAAGCAGCTTCAATTGCTGAACTCACACTTCACCTACCATTTGGTGCTATAGGATGCTGTTACTTACGGGAGAGTATCCAATAAATCGCCTTTGCGTGAGTAACAGTCAAAATGGACATGTTGACTCATTAGCCCGATTCCTCACTTCTATTTGTTGTAGTATTTAAATTGTTTGTCCAGTCTTACAGCAATGGCGACATTGAAGAAAACCAATTTGCCATTGCCATGCAGCTCGGAGCGCAGTCTTCCAACCCAGCATCAATCTCGTGCCTTCGTCGATGAGCGGGATTTTTCGGATGCGTACATTATCGAAGACGTTATCCACCCACATGGATTACACGTACCGGACCCTGTGCATTGTGTCAAAAAGGACGATCATCACGCTCAAAGCTTTCTGAACTACTCATCAGGTGAGTCTGACTTTAACAGTGATAATTCAAATGAGGAGAGTAGGAACGAGATGATACACTGTATCAATCCTCAGCCCAGACGACACCATACATCAAGTGCAGCATCCGACGACATTGATACTGATCGTTTAGTTCAGATTATGGTAGAAGAGACTGAGCGCAAGCAAAAAGCTCGAGCCGAGAAAGAACTAGCATGGAAAAAGGTGAGACAGCTCCTGGTTGAAGAAGAGGAGAAGGTTTTACCTCGCGCTAACCTGAGCGTTGAATCTTTAAATTCTTCAAGTGGCGACGAGACACGCAAAGACCGTGTCGATACGGTCAAGTTGCTCGATGCCTTGGTGAGGTCTGGCGCTGAGGTGTCCGAATTCAGCCGGTCCGATGTGGATGCTGCGCCAGTGTTCGATTCATCTCTCGCTCGAACGAATGAAGATGTGGAAGAATCAACAGACAAAAATCCAGCTTTCACACGGCACATCGATCGAATGAGTAACAAAATAGCCAGGCTTTTGAGTTACGGGCAAATTGCCGACGACGAGCGTAGCAATTCATTTAGATCGCCGACTTCACCGGCCGAAAATAAAGCAAACCCAAAGGTTGGTGCTGGAAGATCATCGACTCAGACAGCACTATATGCGACTCTGAAGCAGCTTACTCAGACTATTAAAAAAGCGGAGCTATCTGAAGCAGGGGTATCTCGCATCTCAGCTTATTTGGTTTTAATTGACCAAATTGTGAGCGAAGACACATCCAAGAAAAATGGTCAGAACGGACGAGGACTGCATCGGCTTTCAAGAACGCAATGGTCGAGGATCATACACGACTCGTCTGAGCGTGTGAAGGAGCTTTGTGAGCCAATGACACCATCAAAACAATTGGCGATTTCTTCCGAATTTCCCGTGTTGGGAGAAAATATTCAACCTCGAGTTGTATCTACTGTGCTGAGCTCATTCAAAGCCTTCAATGCTACAAAAGACTTGGGTGATACTTTAACCACATTCAACACACTGCTCCAAGATTGCGGTCTTGATGGTGTCCAGATCAAAGAACCGTGGCATGTGTATTGCCACATTAAATCTGCAGTTTACAGTAAACTGGGCTTCCGCCATAAACAGCTATTCAAACTTCTTGATGAGCGTTATTGCTTAGATGCTTACAAACGCAAGCCTGTAACTCGAAAACGTCTTTGCATTATCGGTGCTGGTCCTGTTGGACTTCGAGGAGCAATTGAAGCGGCACTATTGGGTGGTCAAGTGATTGTGCTGGAAAAACGCGATCATTTTAGTCGTGAAAACATGCTTCACTTGTGGCCTTGGGTGATTCAGGATTTACTCTCTCTTGGTGCCAAAGTTTTCTTCCCACAGTTTTGCAAAACAAACACTCACTTTCATATCAGTATGCGGCAATTGCAGGTTGTTTTGCTTAAGATTGCGCTACTGGTTGGTGTGACAGTATACTCCTCAACCGAGTTCGAGTCCATCGTGCCTCCTGGACGGGAAAGTAGTGGTGGCAAACCTTATTATATGGTAACGACCCAGCCACAGATTTCAACGATGGAATTTACTGCTGTACTGGGTGCTTCTGGAGCGAATGATAACTTAGCCAAACTAAGTGGCATTAATCGCTTTGTCTACAATAGCAATGAATCCTTAGGTATTCTCTGCTACTTTCCAAACCTTGGCACATCTGAGGAAATGAAGGCCAAGGAGTTTTCATGGACTTCTAAGCTCAAACATCCAATGCTCGACAAGTTGCGTGATCTTGGAATCGACCTGGAAAACGTCGTGTATTACCGTGGTGAGATGCACTATCTGGTGATGACCCCCAAGCGCCAGAACTTGTTGGAATTTCATGTTCTGAAGGAAAATCGATCCAGTTTAGAAGACCTGGTCAAGCAAACTAACGTCAATGAACGCGCTCTGCAATTGTTTGTTAAAGAGATTGTTAACTTTGCGGGTATCCCTCGAAAAGCAGATTTTACTCGCGTTAGTCTACTGGATTTCAGCTCTCTTACACGTGCTGACAAAGCGGCAACTATCTTATCATCACACGGTAAAAAGCTATACGTCGGTCTTATTGGAGACTCGTTACAGGAACCAGAGTGGCATGAAGGTGTGGGCACCTCAAGTGGCTTTTTAAGTGCACTTGACTGCGTGTGGATGGTAGCACAGATTGGCAAAAAGTCTGACGAACAGATATTAGCAGACCGACAAGCTGCGTATCAAGTAACAATGAGACTGTCGAGTACACAGCGCGAAGACATGCAAAAGAATGTACGGAAGTATACGGTCGACCCTAGTTCGCGCTACACAATTTGAGAGTATTCATTTTTTTATTACTGGAACTATAACGTGATGCATTTAAATACTTTTTGATTACTGTACTAAGAATTACCGAATCCCTACAATACATAAAATCAGTCGATTACGTTGCAGGCGATGAATGAGGATGAGGACATGTATGGCTTCGGATCCTTCTCGGATTTGTTTGACACAGGACCGACAAAAATTGCTAAGCGTCTTGATCTAAATGGACTAAGTCGCATCTGTATGTCAGAACGTAAGGTTGTGTGCTTTCAGCAACAGCAGCAACAGAATAAGAGTTGCGTTGTGTATGAGCACGTAGCCGCCAAATTTAACGGTGTGAGCATCGATGGCGGTCTAGGCGCACTTAGTGTGGTGCCGCTTGAAGAAGGTGGTGGCTTTGTGTGGATTCAAACGACAATGTCAGACTCGAATGCTCGCGGAAGGCGCAAGAAGGAGCTTCAGGACATCACAAATCACCATAGGAGCGGTGGTGACCACAAAGCAGCGGATGCCCTTTGCGTACCTATAAAATGTGTCATTTCGATGCAGACTACTACATTGCAAAATAGAGCAAAAGGTGTGGAAATTGAACTTGTCGACGGCGATTGTCTTGAGTTCACTTTCTTGCCTGGGCCATTTGCTAAATTGACACATCGAGATAAGTTCTTACAGGCACTTAAGCAACAGACACGTGATAAGATGGAGACACAGACGATAATTAGCGATTTGTGTGATCAACCCTGTGCTAAAAAACGAAAAAGAGAGTCAAAAGTTGAGACTGAAGGCACGCACAGGGAGAAAATTCGTCAGCTTGTACGGAGATATACTGAGCTAGATCCAATGAGTGCAGAAGCTTTCGCGATTGTCAATGAGGTTCATACAAGAACGGGCTATTTTTTAGGACCTACGGCAAAGGAAATGCCGAAGTTTTCTGAAAACTCAGAGTTTCGCAAGAAATCAATGGAGAACTTGGCAGATTATTTTAGACGAATAAAGCAGGAAGGGAAGGAGGCAGACGCTCATCGTGAAATGCATATGAAGGTAAAATACCTTAGAACGAAAAACAATAAATTTGAGTACACAGACATCGACACTGGAACCCAAATTTCTCCACAGACGTATGAACAGCGGTATTTTGAGTATTTGAAGATCCACGAGACCATCTCAGCGATCCACGAGCTTCCGATCCGAGATAAAATAAAATGCAGCTTGATGGAGACAAGCTTGGTAGCGACAGAGGCAGAGAGCGCAAGGTCTGTGTTTATGGTAACATTAGGAATGGACATCAGCAAGAGTCGAGTTATTGATAGTGATTTTTTTTCACTCGACATTGACAATGCACCGACGGGTACTCAGACGTGTAATAGAAATGTGGCTGCATTTCGGGATGCAGTAAACACGGTTCGGACGAGGGTATGGAACTGTTGGGGTATGGCGTTTGCCCAAGCGTCTGACATGTGTACAAGCAGCACTCGTTCTACAAGCTCTTTGCCAGGTACTGATTGTCGTTTGAACTGTATTTTACTATCGCTGAACCAGATGTTCTGGCTGTCTGCTAGATCAAGCGACATTGCGTAAACGACATCGAGGTAGAAGACAAAGTCTTATGGTGCCCAAATTTGACGATCTCCATGCCACTATAGAGAAAAATCTCGCCGAAAGCTCACAAGGTGAACAATGTGCGGTGGCCTCTGCATCAAGTGGTCCTTCCTCTCCCAAAGCTCATACTAAGCGAGTTCAAGATATAACTCGCAGACAAGACTCAGTAAAAAAGACTTATCGTGCGTCTTCAGCTCAGGAAAGGGTACATTTGCTTCAAAATGGGACGGAGGAGAAGACGACTGCTGCTCAACACAAGACCTCTCAGACATCTGGCAATTTAATGCAATCAAAACACCTCACTCGAAAGACCAGTCCATTGGAGATGGTGGATGATGACGACTTGAGCCTGTGCCAGCTCTGTTACAGTGATGAAGCGCTAGTGCAGATGAAACCTTGCGATCACAAAGTTTGTAGCTCGTGCTGGTCACGATTATCTCCATCATCAGGAAAGAACGGAACTGGGCTGCGTCGATTTTGTCCCTGGGATCGCGAGGTGGTATCAAAGCAATCACAATAATGACTGCTGTTGCGGGACTCAATTGAGCCATTTATTCTATGCGAATATGTCGAGCGTTAATGTCATAGCAAATTTCAAAATGCTTACGGAGGGACGAGACAATGCGTATTGATTGAAATTTAAATTAAATTATTGTTTGCACAGTGTATGTCAATCTAGTACGATGTAGAACAGCGAGGGGCCAAAGGAATAATCGAATGAGTCGCTTTCAGTACGAGCGCTTCGGTTGAAAGTGTGGCCTCACATTCAAGTTGGAAGGATCGATCAGCATTCCCTCGTGGAATTCCTACTAACACGTCATTCTTTGGCGTGGCAGTAGACGGATACATGACAAACATGAAAGTGTCGTACTGAGCTTCTTCAGCACACATGTTGCGATCACTCTCGAGAAGTGTCTTGCAGCGTCGCCGTCTTCGATTAATATCACTCAAAGCCACAGAAGTGGAACTCAAGTGGCCAAAGTCGGCAGCCTTCGCCAACACTTCGTATTCGGTTCGTGAAAGCTCATGTGCCATGGCAGCCGAACGAGGGTATGCCAACCCACTAAGTTTGATTTTTCCGACGCAACATGGGGCAAGTACATACGCAGCTTGCTCTACCAGACACTTTTGCATTACAAGGTCAGTGGCTTCACCACAAGCGTGAAGCGCAACACCAACGTCAAAAGACTTGTCAAAGTCTTGAATGTATCCACAAAAAATGTTCACGTTGGTCAGCCGTGCAGCAGCAATACGCTCTTTGGCTAATAGGAAAAATTTACGACACACGTCAGTTAAATTCAAACACAGCAATGAAAGAAGCTTGCTACCTATTGAGAGTGAACTTTCTTTCTTATCGAGCAAGACGAATGTGCACTCTGGAAAAAGACAAGCGAGCGGAAGTGCCACATATCCTGATCCAGCGCAAAATTCCACGACGACATCGCCTGACCTGAAACAGACCTTTAGCTGCGTATTACAAGATTTATGACGTGTAAACTTACCGAAGAATACGTCGCAAAAAAACTACAAGATTGTCCACTTGTAGCTGCTTGTTAAGTACTCGCTCTGCTGGTAGCTTGCCATCGCGTGGATGAATGCCAGAGGGTAGTTTGGCCCACGGAATGCCCTGTTGCTTTGTCTCTACCGTCTCTTGTAAATTGTGCATACAATTGAGCGGATTGCAGTGATAGATGGACTTGCTGCGACCGATTGATGTGCTTTCTACGCGATCCAGCAGCTCTTCAAACCAAAGCTGCGAATTTCTGGAGCCTTTTTTGCGCAATTTTTTATTACTTCGCTGGCTTATAGTTGAGGTTGCGAGATTTGAATTGTTTGATGCTTCCTTTGTGTCTACTCTACTTGCAAGAGCCCACTCCGCGTCGTCCCACGTGCCCCACGTCAACGATGGCAACATCATGTTTGCCAATTTCTCTACTAATTATTGATTTTTGGAGAAGATAGCAATAAGTCGTATTCTAACACAGGGTCCAAATTTTCTCAGTAAGAATATCGCAACAAATAAACATTTATTCATTACAGAAGCAAACATATGCAAAGTTCGTCTGCACTCTTATGTTGAGGCAACTGAATTGCATGTTCATTATATAATCCCATCCCAGTTCCTTAAATTCAGGTTTATTTCGAGTGACGTACTCGAAAGTTGAGAGAAGGGCATAAGTCGAAGAACATGTGAGACTTGTTTTTGTGCAATCGCTCACGACCATTCTTGTGGACAAAGCCCAAAACCTCTATCTTGCAGAAGCGAGCAACCATTAAGTTTTTTGATATTGGTTGGAGTGAAAGAACACCATATGTTTACTGACGGGACGCCAAATACAGAAACGATTGGCTAGAGTCTCGCCACTTAGCGTGCCTATTGGTTGACATTTTGACGCGCAGGGTCCACCACTTCACGTTGTTGTTTTGGTCATTCTATTATTAAGGTTTTTCGTCTTCGTAGTTGAGGTGTTTTAGCACATCGAAGCCCGTTATCGAAATCATTTTTCAATCTGCTTGCCGGCATCGACATTCATTCCTTCTCAAGGCATACAAAATGACTCAGTCAAATTCAACAAAAGATCGCACCTTCCTTTTCACTTCGGAGTCTGTGAATGAAGGCCACCCGGACAAGCTTTGTGACCAGATATCTGATGCTGTGCTCGACGCATGTGTTTCTGAGGACCCTAACTCGCGCGTTGCATGTGAGACGTGTGCTAAGACTGGCATGGTTATGATCTTCGGTGAGATTACGACTAAGGCTATTGTCAATTACGAAAAGGTCATTCGTGACACTATCAAAGAGATTGGGTACGACGATCCTGCGAAGGGACTTGATTACAAAACTGTCAATGTCATCGTAGCCATTGAGCAGCAGTCTCCTGACATTGCCCAGTCAGTGGACTCAGTCACTGAAGAGGATGTTGGCGCTGGTGATCAGGGTATCATGTTTGGCTACGCCTCTGACGAGACTCCCGAATACATGCCACTTTCTCATATCTTGGCGACCAAGCTAGGCTCCAAGCTCACAGATGTCCGCAAAAATGGAACTCTTGACTGGATTCGCCCTGATGGTAAGACACAAGTTACTGTGGAATACAAACAAGAAAATGGTCGTATGGTGCCACAACGAGTACACACTGTGGTCATTTCTACTCAGCACAATGATGAAGTTACAAACGAACAGATTCATGCCGACCTGATGAAACATGTAGTCCAGACTGTGATACCGGAGAAGTATCTCGACGACAAGACGGTATATCATTTGAACCCGTCTGGCCGTTTCGTGATTGGTGGACCACATGGTGATGCGGGTTTGACAGGTCGAAAAATCATTATTGACACTTACGGTGGATGGGGTGCCCACGGTGGCGGCGCCTTCTCTGGCAAAGATACAACTAAAGTTGATCGCTCTGCCGCGTATGCTGCGCGTTGGGTAGCCAAGTCGCTAGTATCCCAGGGCCTTGCACACCGTGTGATTGTGCAATTGTCATACGCTATTGGCGTGCCTTACCCACTGTCCATTCATGTCGACTCTTACGGTACAGTGAAGGAAGGATTGACTGATGACGATTTAGTTGAGATCATCAAGAAAAATTTTGACCTTCGTCCCGGCATGATTCAAAAGTCACTTCAGTTGAAGCGACCGGTGATGCAAAAGACTGCCGCGTACGGTCACTTTGGCCGTGAAGATGCTGACTTTACGTGGGAAACGGTGAAGGAACTTGAAGTTTAATTCTGTGACAAGATGATGTTGCGTCACCTGCATTATTTGTCTCAGTACTCATATATTCCAAAATTCCCTTCGCCATCAGCTTTCCAGAAGTGGAAAGTGGGGTTGTATCGGCATTTTGCTGCAATCTCTCTGCACCTTCCGTGCTAAAGATATGCACACTTGACGTTGTCGTCAGTTGTCCAATCCATTTTCGGTTTCGTGCAGGGTTTTCTAGCAGTTTGCCCATACCGCTATCTCACAATTTTTCGGGATTAGGTTAGATTGTAAAATCAGAAAGGTGTTACAATTTTTTTTATCAAAGTACTTGATTCGTTTGTCGTTGTTCCTTATTACTTTCTATCATTTTCTATTAGACTACGTCAATGAAAGTTGTTGACGCATTTGATTGCGTATGATTTGAAAACGTAATCATCCATGAGATCGGATGTGTGTCTGAATTTGGCTCATTAATATCTGCGCAAGTTTGAGCATTTTATATAGAAGGTGGCGGCAATTGACAGATTATTATCGAGGTTTAAGAAGTAATGACGATTTAACTCGTTGCAGCAACTCGCGACTATCCGACGATTGGAAATCACGGCAGTCGATCAGCAAAAGAGGTGCTGAGCCAGATGCTGCTGCGGCAACACCCACGTCAAAAGTCATAATTCCTTCTAAATTCATAAGGGCAAATTGCATATTTGCTGCCCATTTGTGCGCAACATGCACTTTCGTTTGCATTGTTCTCAAAAACTCAGAGCACGGTACTCCCATGAGTCGGGTCACAAAATCTTCAGCCACATCGGCCTCTTTCGTCGCAGTGCAATCCTCAACAGTAACGCGAAGCTGGTATCTACCAGTAGTATATTGAAACCCCACAACGGACTTGATGCATGCACGAATCTCAAATGTTGCTGGAGCCTGATGTGGTGCCGAGAATTTTGGTGAGCGCGCTTCGAAGTACTGGAACGGGCGAGTTATTGTCAACGACAAGGCATCGGGTATAACATTATTCGTGTAATCTGTACGAAGAAGTGAAAAGCTTGCAGTATTCCCACTATCGATAAACGTCATCCTGCCTGATCCTCCAACAGATGGTGATCGAGGCCGCTTCCTAGACGAAGTCACTCTGTTGTGTACTGGCTTTGAATCATTGACATGTCGAGGGGTCTTGGGGCTGTAAAACAGGTGCTCCACCATTGGATCGGTTGTATCACTATCCATGTCATCGTTGGTCGAAGGAGCATCAACAAAGACAGAAGTTGGTGCAGTGACTTCAGCTGCAGCTTTTTGCTTTATCCTGTTCATAGATGGCAAAGTACCTGTGCTCATTGATACATTTTTTCGTGAAACATCGTTACGCGCTGCAGTTGGAGTCAAAATTTGAGCGGCCTCATTCTGTATAATCTGAGGTGTGAGTGCTTGCTGCTTCTGCTGTGAAGAGTTAAACTGTGACGTCACCAGAGCTGAGGAGTACACTCCAGCATACAACCCGTTTCGTTCGGTCAAATGATCTTTCTTTTCACCGCTAGGTCCTGAGCTGTCCACTACTTTTTCTAAAAGTTGACAATTATCGGGTCCTAGCAACAACAGTCCGTGCCTGACTGGCACGTTCTCCACCACAATCTTCGTCCCGCGCGGTATGTTGACGCTAAATTGCGGCAGCAAGCTATACTCAAATCCAAACACCAATTGGTGTCCATCAGTCAGACCAAGCTTAAGCGTACGTGTCGGTCCAGCGGATGAACATTTGGTGCGATTCTCGTGATTAGCTCCGACGTTGGCCACGTCCACCACCTACCCATTACAGCTGCATAGTCAGTAGTCAATATAGCACGATATCACACTGATATAAATTGAGGGGTTTACCTGAAGAATGCACATGCCCTCAATTGTAGATCTGCTGAGTTTAGCAACGTTCTCAGGCAGCGCCGGTCGACAACTGTGATGCAAATCCGATTGCATCAATCGGCCAAAAAGGTACGCGCCGTACGGAGCCTGCTTTTGAGCTCTTCCAGCTGTGGTCTGGAAAACTTGATACTCAAGCGCCTCCCATTGTGGATCTAGCGCATCGTATGGTAGCTGTCGACGCCCGCCTTCTCCAGCTGACGGCGACGCCATACACGTGAAACTTTTGACAAAATTATTTGGTAATTTTTGCCATTGATTAAAACTAATTGCGGAATGACATCGATAGGATCACTAATCAGTGCCTTTAGTCCTAGCTTGATCTTACTCGCAATGCAATTTTTTTTCTCTGTAAGATATTTGGTGACAACGTTGCTGTGCGTAACGACGCATGATCTGATTTGATCACAAATGGCTTATGGTCAACCAAATATGAACTAAACTTGACAAGAGACTAAAGTTCCATGTCGTGAACTGGATGCACTTACTACATCATGATATGACTTCAGCAAAGGTTTACGAAATATATTATATCGTAAATTCAACTGTCTTCTCTTCGCAATCAGTGTCCTCAATAATGTCAGAGGGCGCTGTTCACAAACAGTACCTCAAACACAACACACGCTTGTGCGACGAGGAAGCGGATCCCGACGTGGAGGGAGAAGGACAGTGGAGGGAACAAGAACATATTAATATCTCAAGTGTAAAATTGCAACTGATTAAAATGAGTTATAGTTCCTGGCTACATGCAAAACACCTCAAGGGCTCCTAAAGATGATTCTGCTAAAACCCTGGGTTCTTGATTTATAACTCAAGAATTTTCTGAGGTTAAACCTCAGGTTCAACTTATACAAGATCTAGGATGTATAGCGCTAGAACTTCGAAAGCTTGAGCTTCAACTCCTAGAATGTATAAAGAGAAGTGAGTGGCTTACGCCACCCACTTCTACAGAGAGACAAGTCGATCTCGACACCAATACAGATCGCCAAGTAGGAGCCAACATTCTGTATCACACAGAATGGTTGTGACTTCATATCAGAAGGCGCTGTTCACAAACACTGATACGGGGTTACACGTACCCTGGTATAAAGCGGTCGGTCACACAAGATGGTGTGACAACACAATGGTGGGGCTTCACCTTAACAAGAAGCCACTCCGTGGCTGGACTGCCAGTAGTTACGCGTTTTAATCAGGTTCTACTATTCAATTAGGAAAGCCTATAAATTAAGATGTTGGCGGCTCTGACGTAAATATAACAAGAAAATACAATTTGACATTCAGAGCGGAAGAGTTTACTTGCATTGGATTAAGGTTGTGGCTACTGTTGGAGTAAGCGGATTGCGATCAGCTACACTCATACTTGTTCCAGTATAGAACTTAAGGTCATTGACCTTAGCTTAGCTTCCTTTAAGCGAAAGAGATACGACAGCCCCGCTGCACTTGGTATCACTTGTAGTCAATCTACCCCTGAGTCGTCACGACTGATCCCTCTGTAAAAATGGAACAGTTATCCTATTTGCCCTAGGGCATACAGGACAGGCTTAAAAAGCTGATATCTGTGCTTGACCCTGAGGGCGTGTAATATCTAACTTTGCAAGGATCTGAAGCGATCAGTGCGCGCCTAGAGGCGTTTTCGAGCTATTAAAAATGCTGTGCTAGAACACGTAGAGCAGAAGATGTCGGCGTCGACTGCGCCCATGACGCCATCGTCATCGACAGATGACTCCTCCCGTCCCAGGCCACTCATGTTGCGTTAAGACCTTCGAGAGCAAGGATGAGGAGAATCTCCTGCTCTGGGTGAGACAGGCCGAGATGACCATGGCGTCCGCCATGCTCCAGACTGAGCAACAACGCGGGATGCTAGCTATCTCCAAGCTCGCTGGTCGAGCGCGAAATTGGGCGATGACATGCGGTAGTTTGGTTGAAGCGGCATTTCCCTCCTGGACGGAGCTGAAGCGTCAACTTTTCGAAGCGTACAACCGCATTTTCTTGCCGCCAGACAGGGCAAGAAGGAATCGGTGGACTTTGTCCAAGAGTTGGGTTCTCTAATTGCCGGCATGGCAGCCGATTCTCTCCCCGAGGTGGTCACAGTGAGCGACTTTATGGAGGCAACCCGCACTGGCGTGGCCGGAATAAAAGTCTTCCGTATGCATCCGTCTTTTTCTTAAGAAACAGTGTATGTGACAATGAATGCTGTATTCAACTTCAGATCAGCACGACTTGGTTGGAATGCATACTCTAGCAGCCCGACGAGCGAGCCAGAGCCAATGGGTCTCAGCTATGCTGAGGGCGAGGAGGCAGAGCTTTGAGCTGCCGGGCAGTGTTCGAACACCCGACGGTGTTTTGGTTTTGTCTGTGGAAACACCCGTCACTTTCGGGCTGGCTGTCTTCTGCTTAAGGCGCGTCAAGTTTCATCGAACCGACGTTCCGCTTCTCACCAGTCTTCTCCGGGAAACTACAACACTCTGTAGGCGCGGGGTGGCTTACTTAGGAAAATTTGAGTTTTGTTGAGTCTCACAGAGGTAGAGGTAGAGGTCAGCAGGGCCCAGCCCCGAAGAAATTCGTGCGCTTGAACACGACACGTGTATGCAAGCCGGGCTTGCTGGTCGTTTAAGCGACCGTGAAGAGCTTTGAGAAGCCAGGGAAGATCCTGATCGACTCCGGGGTGTCGGATAACTATGCTCGACGGTCCACAATAGATGTAAGTCAGCAATGTTGCTGAGGCGCTGAAAGCGCGGTTATGTGACATCGTCACTGGGAACATGCATCACGGTGCCGAGGGTTCCTGCGGACCTCGGTGTCACGTTTCTTGTCTTTGATAGCGTGGAATGCTGCTTAGTCTTAGACTTGGATTCGAGATATGACCTCATTCTTGGAGAGAGAAAATATGGCTTGGTTGGAACGTCATGAGCCATGGATCGATCGGAGGTCTAAGACCTTGGGCCCTACGCGCAAGCATGCTGGTGGAGCGTTGGTGAGTCATTATCCTACCTTTTCTATTGGGCAGAAACGCTATTGGCGCTGGCACTGGACCAAGATGGCCAATGTGCTGGATATCGAAGTATCCGAGCTGTCGAACACGGAAGGTGTATCGGATAGGAGTCCCGATCATGGTTCGCAAACTGATCATGTAGTGGGGCATAAACCACTGAGATATAATCAAGAAACAAAGCAGTCGTTGCATGCCACGAGTGGCATGGTCGGACGAGGTCCAAGGCATCGTGGTCAAGGCCCTTCAGATGCGCGTGGAGTGGCATGTTATTCACTGCGGAACTAGCAACTCTTCGTCGGATGTTATTAGAAATATCAAAGTCCCGGTGGAGCGGGAAACGGAGCTTACACTGAACGACACTGAGTGCGTGTGGTCTCGCCGAGACGTGAAACCTCCGTGAAAGGGCGACGGCGACGCCGTATATTATCTGCAAGACGCCCGGCGTTGACCCTGACCAAAGATGTGGCCACCGTAGTCGATAGCGCACAGCTTTACACCCTCGTCAACGGTATGACGGGGGAGGAAGACGCTGACGTCACCTTCAAGGCTATTCCTGCGGCGTATGCTCTTCTGGATTTAGACAAGATGTCCTACGAAGGGTTTGGCGGTTCCTTGAAGGCAGGCGACTTAGCCAAAGCGGTCACTATACGACCGGCAGAGGAGATCAACTTGTCATCGCTTCTGAGTGAAGCGGTCCTTGAGGAAACCAAGAGAGTGCTGAACGCATGAAGTGGATCTTTGATCCTGAAGTATCCTTTGGATCCGTACTATCCTTTGTTAAGGAACTTCAAGATGTCGTCCTCAGAGACCAGTCGTCGGTCCTTCCTCCAACTCGAGGTGCGCGTCATGAGATTGACCTGGTTTCGGGAGCCAAATACTGCGTAATACGCCAATGGCCCCTGCTCAAAGAGCAGTGTGACGTCATTGACGCCTTTTCTTGTTCGAAACACGGGGCAGGAATGGTGCGTGAGAGCAAGCAAGTCTCCCCATTCGACACCAACGTTTTGCGTCTGGAAGCCGAAATGCATGCGGCGTATTATCACGCTTATAATACGCTAAATGCTGCTAACATTCCGGCACAAACGCCAATATTTAGATAGGATGTTCTTCAGAACAATATGGATGGCCGTACAAAGTACAGTGCACTTGACTTGGTCGATGGTTTTTACCGATTGCTCATGAGAGCAAGTGATATTCCGCTGACAGCGGCGAGTACTTCGTGATATTCCGCTGACAGCGGCGAGTACTTCGGACGGGATGCTCTGGGAGTGGCTAGTAATGCCCTAAGGGCTGTCAAATGACGCAGTTTTTCAGACCCACCGGGTGTATGCACAGACATTCTTTGACGATATCTTCGTCCCATGTCGTGCGGGGCATAGGAGGCGGAATGAGGATAACCACAACTTCCGTTAAGAGCGGTGCTCGAGTTCATGCGCACAAATAAGCTGTATGCTTACACCGAAAAGTGCCTAATCGGAGTGGAAGAAATTCCCTTTAGGGTGCTTCATTGGAAAGCGTCGCCTTCGAGCGGATCCTGCTAAGATCAAGGACATCGCGGGCCGGCCGGTTCGAAAGAACCAAAAGGACTTGCGCAAGTGGCTTGGCATCGCTTAATACTTGCACAAGCTTAGCGCAAATTACGCGAAAATGGCACGGCCATTGTCGAATCTCCTTAAGAGAATAAGGAATGGTGTTGGAACCCGAGCATCGGGAAGCTTCTGACAGGGTCAAAGACAGCCTCCTTCATGCACCAATACTGGCGTTGCCAGAACCCCATCGTCCTTTATTGTCGTCTGTGACGCTTCGAACTTTGTCATCGGCCGTGCACTGCTGCAAGCAGACGCCGACGGGTGAGATCGGGTGATCGCGTTTGAATCTCGCCAGCTTGAGGCTGCAGACAGGAACTACCCAGTTCACGACAAGAAATTACCTGCGATGAAGTATGCACATGTCAAGTTCAGGGTAAACTGGCTTAGCTTAAAGCCATTTGTGATCTACAGATCATGCAGTACTACGCTCTGCGACTCAGTCGCCTCACCTCTCGCAGAGGATGCCCAGGTGGCTCTAATTCTTCGCAGGATATAAACTCGAGATGATGTATAAGCCAGGAAAGCAGAATATTTTGGCTGATGCGTTGTCACGCCAGATTATAAGCTTGCTCATGTCACGACGGTGACGTTGTCAATTACGGATTTGATCCGCGCACTATACGCGAATGACAGTATGTGTGTACATGCAGCTCAGTGAGTTACCACTATTGGTAGCCCAAGCTGTACAATTAGAAGAGCACATATGTCCGCACGTGTGAGACGTGTCAAAGGGTGAAATCCTCTCCGAATGCGGCACCGCCGCTGGTCAGTTTATTTGTACCCTCCGGGTGTTGGCAGTTCATGAGTATTGACTTTGTGTTTGGCCTGCCAGATGACTCGTTGGGCAACACGAGTGTGGTGGTCTTTGTTGAACGTTTGAGCAAGATGACTTATCTTACGGCAGTGCCGGACACCATCGACGGTGCGGGTACAGCGACGCCGTTTGTCGATCGTGTCTTTGGACAATATAGATTCCCGAAGTCCATTGTCTCTGATAAGACCCGCGCTTCACTGGGAAATTTTGGTCTATAATCTTCAGGGTGCTGGACACCAAGTTGACTATGTCAACAACAGACCATCACCAGACCTATGGTGAGACTGAGTGCGTGTATCGCGTTGTCAAAGACATTCTTCGTAGCCTCTGCGCTGAGACGCCGAAGCGCTGGAACGCTATGTTGCCACTCGTAGAGTTTGCTCTGAACAATGTAGTGCATTCATCCACCGGCTATACGCCGATCTACGTGAGCGGGCTTATTCATCCTCGCGTCCCGCTGACGCTGCCATCCAATGGTCCAGGGCTTGGTGGGGGAGGATTACTTGAACGGCTAGCAAATGTCAGCCCCCTACTGTGTGTAGAGAAGTCGGAGACTTCCTATTTACAATACTGAGTATCTTACTACACGTTCTCGATGCGATGGCTGAAAGCCAAGAATATGCAGACGGAAATAGAAGAAATATTGTTGAAAGCATTGAGGTCGGAGACCTGGTTCGATTAAATGCTAAAAGCCTTATTACATATGCAGTTTCTGGTGTCTCTAAAACGAAGCTCTGTCCACGGTTTATTGAATCTTTTAAGGTCTTGGCCATGCGAGGACTTGCGTGTACGCTGAACCTTCAGAAAAAGATGCAAACCCACCCGGTGTTTTATGTGGGCTTGCTTAAGTCGTACCGGGCTCCGGCGCAAGTGAATGTGGATGTGTTGGCACCGAGACGGTGTTAAAAGGTGCTCGGCTACCCAGAAGCTGAACCAGCAACAACTGATTTCGAGCACGAAGTAAAAAAAACTTCCGTTTCCAACGTCGCAAGACTCTCCACCGTCGCAAGAAGTGTCGTATTCGTTTGCTCGACGGCTAGGGGCCGCTCTGATAGATAACGTGGCAGTCGATGCACAAAGTGCTCCAAGCTCTCGAGGTCTTCCGTACAGCGATATGCGACCTCGGCAAGATGCTTGGCAGAGTGCCGATGACGACGGACTTTGTCCTCCAACGCTCAAACAGCATCGCGAGTCATCGGACAGCGATCGACCAAGTCATCATCGTCCGCCGCCAACTCTTCTCGATGAGAATGGTGGCGTCCACTACCACGTGGAACGTCTTCTGGGTCGACGTCGCCGACAGGGTCGAACCAAGTATGTTGTAAAGTGGCGAGCATACCCCGACTCTAAGTGCTCGTGGGAGTTTGAGGTGCCACTGCCCAGTCGATGACGCTTATGATCAGAAGAATCATGACGCTTTGCGTTGTCTTGCGCACCGCGCTTCTCGGCAGTAGTCTAGGAAGCCGGAGGACAATTAGCTGAGCTCAAGCTATGGCCCTGAGACCCTATGGTCGTATCCCTCACCCGTGTGAGAGACCACAGAGCTCGCGAGAGCGTTATGGATTGTTCCATATGTCGCATGGCGAGAATACAGAGGAAGTCGGCGTTGCGCCTTGAGGTTGGCGAGCTCAAATCTAGGATGGCGCTCAACGCGCACGTCCACTTCCGTGTGGTTTTGCTGGTAAGCTATACTGCGAAGAAAGTACCGCTGCACATATCGCTCAAAGGTCTCGTCGCCATCTGCAGCGGTTCCGCTACGGGCGACCACCACAGGGATAATCCGCATTGCGGGAACAGGAGCACCTTCGTTTTGAGCTCGAAGTCGAGCGCAGTACCGATCCATTGAGATCTCTTGGGTACCAAAAAGCGAGCTCGAAGTGCTTTCCGCTTATCAAGCTCAGTCTGTGTAGTGGCCAGAGGTTCGTCTACGTAGACTTTTAACGATCGAGTGATCGCGTCTATCGCTTCAGTAGCGGGAATTTGCCGAGCGAAAGCCGTATTTCACACGGGGGTCCAAGACCGAACGTGGATATGAGCGTGGGAAAGCCGCGCCTCCAAATGCTGCTCCTGTGCCTCGTCGAGGCGATTTGTAATAATTTTACTTTCCTTGGAAGCCGAGAGGATGGGGAGCGGACACGGTGTCAGCAGGATTTGAGCTGGGCTCACGTTGAGCCGTTGGCGCACTGCATTCTACTCATCATCCCCTGCTGGGAAAGGAGTGTCTGACTCATAGTCGACTTCCTCCAACTCCTCGACAAGACAATCCTTCATTCGGGGCTGGCGCGGTGTGTTGCGCTCGGTCGCCGAGAGCTTGGGATGTGCTTCCCGTGAAGCCGCGGACGTACTGTTCGGAGATGCTTCCTGTGCGGAAGAAGAGGAAGGGCTTTGCCCGCATGCGCCCTCCCCATCAGCTAGGCTGGGTGTGGTACGTGTCGTAGACACAGTGCTAAAATAGCGGAGAATGTTTAAAGTTGTTCTTAAAGAATGCGAAGGTGTCTCAGACACGCGAGCCTCGTATGAGGCGATCGTCAAATGTGAATCGAAGATAATGGGAAGAGTGTGACGGGGTTTCACGAACCCTTGTGAGAAAGGGCCGGTCGCACAAGACTTTGCGACCGTACATAGGTGCGAATTTTACAAATTAGTGTAATCACACAGTGGTTTGGCTACACTGTAACAAGAAGGCAAAATTGCCAGTAGTAATGAATAATAGTATAATAATTAGATTTTGCTATATTAATTAGGTATTACTATATTAACTAGAAAAACCTACGGTTTTAGATATCAGCCTAAAACAATTGTTTGCCTTGGTCAAAGTTTATAGTACTTAGAGGTAGCGGATTGCGATCCGCTACACTCGTACTGGTTCTTAAAAAGAACATAAGGTCGGTGACCTAAGCTTAGCTTACTCTCATTAGAAAGCTACGGCAGCCCGCTGCAGGAGACGCCTGGATGAAAATGTCGGGTAATGTTTCCGAATGAAACCAATCCAATGGTAAATTATTTCAAATTATTTTGTGTGTGAGTTGTTTTTATACTAGGCTTACCAGTTCGTGGTTGGAAGATAATACATTAGAGAAAACTAAACTTACTTTTATTAACCAATCAGAATATCTAAAATATCCAAATGGAAGACAAACCTGTTGACTTCGCCAATGGCGGTGCTCCCACAGATGATTGTTTACAGCGTCCATCTTCACCGCTTGTGGTTGCGGATGCAAGCGTTCCAAGCTTGTTAGACTCGCGAAAAGTGTCATCGACGACTGATATCAGCATCACCCAACCCCGCTATCTGCCGCTCGAGAACGAATCGACGTCTTCTTCGCTAAAATTCAGTGAAGCATTCGCGCATTTAAGGAAGACATCGTCTTATGTGGCACCAGTGTTGCAAGAAGGAAGAGCTCCAATGCGAGACTCAGCCGCTACTGTGTTCGTGAATCGACGTCAGAAAGGGAATCCGATGCTCAAGGCAGTGCGCAACGTCGGGCTCGAGTTCCGAGATGGACTGGTACCGGATTATGTAATGGAAGAGTCATCATGCTGCGTTTTGTTCCTGAGTGTAAGATACCACCTGCTGCATAATTCATATCTAGACGAACGCTTGCAAAGTGTAAGAAAGGATGATCCAACGCGCTATAAAACCAAAGTCGTTTTGTGTTTCGTAGACGTGGACGACAATGAGGTGGCATTGCGTGAAATCAATCGTGTCACGCTGTTAAGTGACTTCACACTGGTACTTGCGTGGAGCTGGCTTGAAGCTGCCCGATATCTAGAAACTTTTAAGGCATACGAAAATAAGTCGGCGACCATCATTAAGGAGAAAATAGAGGCCGAGTTTCTTCCCAAAGCCAGCGATGTGCTCACGTCTATCCGTTCAGTAAATAAGACGGATGTAATTACGCTTTTGTCTACGTTTGGAACAGTCAAGGGACTGATGAACGCTTCTATGGAGGAGCTATCGCTTTGCCCTGGCTTAGGTGCCAAGAAGGTGCGGCACCTACTCGAGACTTTCCAGGAGCCCTTTATGAAACAGTAAAATACTACGTTATTAAAATTTTGCCAGTTTGAGATTTTGCGACTACAATCATAGACAACAGTTGGTGGTCTGACTGCGTTTGGTGTTTATGCAAGCGCTGTTTTAAAGAAACTGCAGCTGCACATCAAGAGGGAGTCGCTTGCTGATACAGATGATTTTGCTAGTAGATGGGCATCCCGAGCATGATCGATAACACTCTCAGGTCAGATTATACAAATTTTGCCTCACCTTGGCGAATTGCTTATGCAAATTCATCGAATGCACGTTCAAATGTCCTTGCGGCATTCACTACTATCAATGCAACATATAGAAACACCAATACACCATTAAAATGAGCATTAGCGCTGATTTTTAAGTACAGCGTGCTTAAGATAGATTCCTTACGCGCGAGGTGAAATATTATGCCCGCCCTGATGGTTCACTTCAGCAGTGAAACCCACAGCTTCAATAGCCGCCACCAGATCACTAAACTGAGCCGTACCAGAGACATACGCAGCGTGCTCGTCGAGCTCCACTACTGCGTCAGTCACACCGGGTGTGCTCTTTAAAGCATTTTCCACAGTCGTGCCGCAGTTTTTCATACACGACATGCCCTCAACCTGAATCCGCACGGTAGACGGGTCGGTAAATCGCCACGAACCTCGCTCTTTTGTGATGTCCTGGTCTAAATTTTTAAAAAGAAGAAATCCGGCGCCAAACCCAGCAATGAGGGCCAAGAATAGACCGGTTTCATAGGTCATGACTACAAGCATGGCAAAGTACGCAATGGTCATCTGAATCATGTAAAGAATGGCAAGAACTCCCTTGCATTGCATCTTGTGAAATTTGTCAAGTGGGCGAAGTTTGCGAGCGACCAGAAGCCGCTGACGGACAGCTTCTCGACTCTTTACGAGATACTCGTTTAATAAAGCGATTAAAAAGCACCCGATAAATCCAAATGCGTATTTGACGCCACTATCGAGTACCCACGGCTGAAATAGCAGCATCACACATGATCCATGAATTGATGTCTGAAAGCCATTAAACATGACAGACCCCAGACCCGAGCAGAAGTCTGATCTGGACGAAGTGGCTGACTCAGCACTTGTTCCAATGGACGGAGTTGTGGGCGCCGTAGAAAAATCCGCTACAAAGTTTTGTGCCGCAGGACTCAACGTCGTCAAAGTTTTGGCATCAGCGCACGTGGATCCTGAACAAATTACATTGTCCACCAAATAACGCGGCTCAGTATTGACGTTCGTGAGGTACAAGTTCTTGTTGCTTTGTGAAGCGAAATAAATTTTCTGGCCGTTCACAAGACATACATACACAAAACTATCTGTAGATATTACATCGCCTGATACAGGATCATTAATTCCATCAGCGCACTCAGTACAGGTATTTTTGCACTCGGCATAGGCATCAGCGTCCGTTTGATTGACGATAAATTCAGCCATATTGGCAGCTAAATAGGCCGTATCTGTCACCTCGGTATTGTAGGATTCGAAAGCACGCGGCGCCATACCACACGAGTAAATTTTCTGGCCATTAATCATGCTAACATAATTGTTGTTGTCGTAGCCATTATCCATTGTAGACATGCCGCATACAGGACACGTGTAGTCGGTGGAGCTCGAGGTAGCTAAGTCGCGATGCAACTGCATTGCATTCATGTCATGCAAATGGTGAAGCTCGTGATGGTGATTGTGGAGAATGTGTGCAGACGCTGATGAGGCCAGGAGCGCGCTGACCGTGGCCCAAATTAATGAGCGATACATCTTATATGACGGCAAATGAAGACTGAGACTCTTCTTAAAGTACCTGCCCATCTGTTTTATTATAGGTAAAAATGGATTTGCAAATTATCTTATACTGTCTATAGCTAAATTGAAAAGAATTTGGAAAGGCACTCTTCTCGTGTTCAAGCTGCTTTACATTGCGTCATCGCATCGAGGACTGGTAATCAATTCCCGTTATCGATTCACTCATTCAACAATATATCTCAATAATATTTAGGTTGGTCTCATGCTCCGATTTCGGTTATCTCAAGTGTCGCGCAGCTGCCAGCATCTGCTTGTTTTTCCTGACTCTATATTTACCGTATTTGATACCCGTTTTTTGTGTCTTGAGTGCACTTTTAGTTAAGTACGTCATGGCGCGAAATGAGTTGCTGCAAACGCTGGTGTCGGCAATAATGCTACTGATGGTACTGGACGTAAACGCCGACCAAAACCTTCGAAAGACAACGTGTCCTATTTGTAATATGGACGTTAAAGCCGATATCAATGCTCCAATATTTGGCGATCAGTACATTTACGCATGCGAGATGGCTGGCCATATTGACTCACTGCAGAACGACCCAGTAAGTGTTAAGTAGCTACGATTGACTGTCAAATAATAACGTATTGCTCTGTTTTGTTTTGATGCAGGCTTCGAATTTGGGCCCGCCTGAGGAAGCTGACATCACTACAGACGAGATCTACAAGGATGCACAAAATATTAAGTGCCCTGTATGTGGTAAGGGCTACGATCAGCTTACACATGCAGTACCGTGGATCTCTAAGGGTGCGCAAAAGATTTACACGTGCTCGGAAGAACATGCGCAGACGGTGTTCAGCGATCCCACTAAATTTGTAGCGGCGCAGGCCTCATCAGACAATTTCTGCAACGGGGCAGGCTCGGTCATGTTTAACGGTTTCCAGCTAGCCATTGGCGGCGATGCATCGTGTCTTATGGTGCTGTTTCAACCATGGGTAATTTCCTCAGCTGTTAAATATGCGTTCGCATTTATAGGCGTCGTGCTGTTGGCCATATCACTCGAAGGCTTTGGAGAGCTGCGCGAGCTCGTTCAGACACGACTGTACCGAAACTACGGTGTTGTCTCCAGCCAGACAGACTACACTTCGATGACTACGCCGCATATGAGTAGCAGTAGAGCCATGAGCCTAGATTTAATTGTGTCGAAATCTGGTCGCTTACCGGATGCCCACTTCAGTATTATGCGCCGTTTGCCCCTTTGGTGCAAAGTGCTGCTATCTGTCATGTACATGGTTCATCTGTGTTTGGGCTACTGGATCATGCTCATCATCATGACGTATGAGACCCTCATGTTCGTGGCTGTGATCATCGGTGTCGGATTGGGTTTCGTTATATTCAAGGACACCGATGCCGACGATCTGCGCGGCAGTATTGACCCTTGTTGCTCCACATAAATTTCGATTGATGGGGATTTGGTAGTTTCAATTACAATACAATCATCTCATTTCAATGATCCTTACTACATTTAAATCTGTCAATCATGTACGGCGCAGTCTGCTCTAGTACGAGCTGTAGCAGTTCACGCAATGAGCTGACACCGCCGCCTTCCACACCGTCACCATTCCGATATCAAGTACGTGAGGGTGACACACTCGCGAGCATCGCACTCAAGACTCAGACAACAGAGGCAGCACTGCTGGCGCTCAATCCGCTATTGGGTCGCAAGACGCGGCACGTAAAGCTCTACCCGGGTCAGCAGATTATCGCAGAGGAAGCAATTGATGTCTCGCTTCCACCACCACCCGATTACATCGATAATGGATGGGGACAAATGCACTTAGTGAGCGCCGGTGAGACGCTGCGTCACATTGCAGCGCTTTACAACACGACGGAGGAGATTTTGCGCCAGGACAACCGCCGCTATTTCCCCACAGGCGAACGTGGTTTGTTGTGCCCCGGTCAGCTGTTGCATGTGCGTTTAATAAATACGGGTGAGATGGAGAAAGATGATCCTACAACAAGCGGAGATGCGGACGCCAAGGCCTTGTCGTTAAGTAGCATGAGCGAAGAGGAGGCCACATACACAGGCACGTCGGCCGCTTTTGCACGATACAAGACACACCTAGTCGCTCCAGAAGACACATTTGAGTCCATTTGCAAGACTTTCAACATTCCGTATTCCTACTTCTTACAAATTAATCGTGGCCGTTACCCCGTTGGCAAACGTGCAGAGCTCGTGCCAGGTGAGCGCGTCGTTGTACCGGATCGTGTTGCAGCGCATCAAGCGGCCTATCGACGCAACATTGCCGAGATCAAGCTCACCAAGCAAATCCATGTCGTGGAACCGGGTGATACTCCCGAGGACGTGGCCAAGCGCTATGGAATGACATATGACGAAATACGCGAATACAATCGCGCTTACTTTCCAAAAGGATATCGTGGTGAGATCCGTCCTGGCTACAAGCTGGTGGTCAAGCGCCTAGAAAGCCCTAAATCACCACAACAGCTACGGGGAGCTGCTAGTGCATGATCAAACCAACTATAGCCTGTTTCTCGAGGCTTGTGCTGTCTGATGTCAGGAATAATTTTAAATCTAGACGTGTGCTTATATTTTAATGTGAGGATATAAGTTGACAGGCTTGTCCTGTTACGCATTTGTCATTTTTGTCTTGAATACGTATCTTTCGTGTACATGAATGACGTTTGTTTGTCTACATGCGAATCTGGCGGCGGCGCTGACGAGTGCGCTGAGAAATGCTTGGTGTAGATACATCGCTTGATGCATCCGAACTTGGTGTGGCTATACTGTCCGTCATGTACGTCGCGGTCGTGCGCTCAACAACCGTTTCCAAATCCATAAGTTTAAGTTCCAATTTCTCATTCGTATGCTCTCCGCTTTCGTCGACAACATCATGAGTTTCAACCGTTTGCACTTCATTATCTTCATTGTGCAAAGAAATGACGGTTGTTGTTGCCTTCACTTCAGCAGTCGATGCTTTATCAAAAATGTGCGCAGGTGAAATGCTGTCGTCTTGATCACACAAGTCATCATCAGACAACAAAACAACTTCTTCTGCTTCCTTCAGGTTGGGTGGTGATTGCCACCGCATGCGTCGGCGTGATACTCGGCCGAGAAGTCGATTTTTTCGGTAAATCTTCAAAAAATAACCTGCTAGCGCTGCCAGACAGAAAAACATGATTGAAAGCAAACTGATCTGGGCAAAATCTGACCAAGGTAACGCAGACGTTGATAAAGGAGAAGCAATCGCATCCAGAGTCTCTGGCACGTTGATTCCCGCGATTTTGCCTTGATCAAACACCGACTCTTGTTGAGATAGTGCAATTGCCTGCGTGCTTTCCAGCCAAATCTGTTCGTTCACAGCAATTGTACGCAGCTCTTTTTCGATCCGAGCACGTTCGTCTTCTTTTTTCAACAAAATCTGTCCAAGTTGCTTTAGCTCAGAAAGATCTGTTGCCACTGTTGCAACGTCCAGTTTTGAAGTCTCCCGCTCACTATAAATGGCTACAGGAGCGTCTTGTAGTAAATGCACGGCATCTCGCTGTGCTTCATTCGCTAAATGACTGTCAATGATCGATGTGTCTCTATCGACTGCTGTATGATCATGACTGTGTACATAAACCACTCCGTTGTCCTGAATACGTTCAGATTCTGCCTCAGTCTTGCCCGTAGTCACCTTCAGCGCAATCTTAACATTCATCTCTTCATATTGGTTCACTGTGTCGTCTGCATTTGAAGTTGTTCTATGCACCTGAGCATGTTGTTCTGCAAACACCAGCTCAGTCACAGATTTTTTTTGCTCTTCGTTGACACTTTTTTTCTTCAACTCAAAAGAATCTAGAACATGAGCTCGCGCATCATATAGCGTCTTAATCACTTCCGCTTTGTCAATCTTACCTTCACCGGTATCCGCATCGTCGATGTGGCCAACTGTGTTGTCGACTATTGATATATCAAGATCTTCCTGCAAAATTCTCTCACTTTCATCCAAGCTTTTATAAATATCCGTAAAATCCAAGATGTCTTCTTGCAAATGCTTCACCATCAGCGCAGCGCTGTGTGATTCCACTACAGTTTCCGTTTGCGTGTCTTTTTTCTCACTGGCTATCCCATTCATGTTCGAGGATGTCAGCTCTGATGTCAACACTTCCGTGGTAAGAGGCACGTGACCCTTACTGCAATCGTTCACTGGCGCGTCCTTCGAAGCACTGGACTCTACCTTCAAAACCTGTGTCTGCACCTTATCTATTTGTACACCTTCTTCAAAGGAGTTGTGCTTTGCTGCAATATCAACATTCAAAAGATTTCCAGTAATATGATCGATGACATTCTGAGCCTCTTTGCTGCCCGCGAGACTTGTAGAAGACACCTTTTTGTTTTGTTTAAGCAATTCACAAGAACCAAAGATATCTTCAGATATAGATTCTTCACGTTCAGCCATACCACATTGATAATCAGTCCCGCAACTTTCACCGTCTCGAGTACCGCAAACTTTCCTTTGCAGTCTGTCCTCACTATAACAATTGTTTCGCGTGGTTGCTTGCACTGCTGCATCAACATATGGTTGATTTTTTATCGTTAACTCAGCCAGCATCGCAGCCCCGCCCTCACTTTTGATTTGATTAGCGGTTCGCTCGTAGTACTGAAGTGTTTGATCAAACGATCGAGTATACTGATCTTTTAATTGCTTTAAACGAAACTCAACTGCTTCAAAAGCCGCCATTTTCATATTACCAACACTCTCGAGTGCAAATTTCCGAGTGTTAGCTAGGATCGCGTTAGTACTATCAGCAATTGCAACTCGTCGTTTCTCGAAACGCTTTACATCTTGTAATGCCTGATACTCGTGTGAAAATAACTCTTTTTTAATACTCTCAATCTTCACTTCATTTGCCTCCAGCAGTGCCAAAAATTTATCCTCTAGTAAAATCCCATCACTCAAATTGAACATCAATCCAGTCCACAATAGTGCATGCTCCAGACTAGATTCCATTCTCTCTCCTGCTTGCTTTACCATTTCAGCAAGAGTCAGGAGAGTTTTCAAGGCGAGAGATTGCATTCGATTGAGCACACCATCTTCTCCACTTAAACTGAGCTCTATCGATTCGGAGATAATAGGCACAAGTGAGTGTACCCACATCAGCGACAAGTTAAGCGTATCCATCAGATATGAAACTGCTGGTGGAAACGGGAACAATAAATCGTTAATCAGCTTTGAAACCGCTGTCAGCTGTAATTTGAGCTTTTTCTTCACCATAAAAGTGAGTGCTTGAGCCGCAAGTCGCAATTGTTTATTTTTTAGCAGAGAATGCCATACCATTTGAATATCTTCGTTCAGAGATCTTAAAAGCAAGCGCATTTCATACAGAAATTTAGTGGACAGTAAACGTAGCTGCTTAACATCATCTTGGATCCAAATTGCAGCAGGAGACGCTGGATACGCTTGACAAATTGCTATTCCACTACCCACCGTAACAATTACAGCCCCTACTCCCACCGCCTGTGCGATCCTTAATCTACCACAAAACGCCTTTCGCTTTTTCATTTTCATGCCTTGGTCCTGCGCAACTGTTACATCATTGTCACTCTTTGCTCCAGTCCAGTTCTCAGCAGCACTCACAAAACTATCAGTTGCTTTCAAATTATTCGCTAAGTCTCCGCTTTTTCCTTGTTGTCCACCTCTCACAATGTTCTTCATTTTTGACTCAGTCGGCTCGTCGGTTCCATAAATTGATTCTTCAGAGCCCACATCGACCCTACCACGTCTAAGCTCAATCAATCGTTCACTATTAACTTCGCAATTCTCGTCATCGGCAAATTCAGCTTGGTTGCTTTGTTCTTGATTTTGACTTGTAGACTCGTGCTTCATTAAAAATGTGAATATTGTTTCCACGCTGTGCTGAAGTTGCGGGGCCTTTTCTATCGTAGTTTTACTTTGCAAGCTTTGCTTGTCACTCGTGGGCGACCGGGGTGGCATTTCGGCTGAGAGAGGCGGCGCACCAGTGTCCATACTTGTAGTTGTAGTGCAGTATATCGTATATTGCTGCCTTTTTGGTATTGCTATAGTAAAAATAATGTCTTGAAGATTATTCATACAAAATGATTCTTTTGACTCATAATCACTATTGCAATTTGCAATTTGTAAACGAGAAAGTTGCAGCAAATTGTAGTAACGTTATACGTGTCGATTACAATATACGAGATGTTGTGTTGTTCCTTGGAGTTGGATAGGAGTTTAAAAACATTTCTTAATGCTTCGGATAAAGCTCCGCTAAAACAGGATTTCTTTTCTATTAGACAGTATAAAAGAAATTTTTAAATTTCTTTCTAGAATTGCCAAATTTTAGCAAGTAATTGTACAAAATTCACATTACACGTTGTCTGTTCGAATGTAGAAATTGAATATTTTTACTGTTTGTCCATTTTTGATTAATATAGAAATACCTAATTGATATAGCAAAATCTAATCAATATAGTAATATGCATTACTACTGGCAATCCTGCCACCTTGTTGAGGTGTAGGCACACCACTGTAATTCACACAAAATTGTGTGATCCACACCTATGTACGGGTGTGCAACTCGCCCTTTCATACAAGAGTACGTGTAACCCCGTTGCAATACCCGTGAGTCTTGCGACGGGGGCACTGGTAAAATTGCCAAAGGCACGTAAGGCCTTCTTGTGGAGTCCGAAGACTTGGACAGCGAGGGACAGTGTTTCATTTAAATTTTGTATGACGCGCGATTACTTAAAATAGTATACTGCTACGGGGTTACACGAATAACAGGGGGGGTGTCACTCGAGGTGTGAATAATTTGACCACACACCCAAACAAGAATACGGTAAGGGGCTAGGTAGCCAGCAGTCATGCATGTATTATATATAGTATATTGAGGAAAATCCAAACTTTTAAAATTAGGATAAAAAGATTAATAAGAATCAGTTTCGATTTCGAACAGAAGTGTTCGTTTGCCTTGGTTAAGGCTATTAAGTACTTTTAGAGGCAGCGGAATGCGATCCGCTGCACTAGTACCTGGTTCTTGTTAAGAAAGAAAGTTCGGTGGCCTAAAGACGCTTCCTCAAGCGCAAAGCTACGGCAGCCCCGCTGCACTGGGTAGCACTTGTAGTCAATCAACACCTGAGTCGATTCGATGATCCTCTGTGAGGATGGAGGAATTTTCCTCTTTGCCCCATGGCATGCAGGACGGACTTAAAAAGCTATTGTCCTTGCTCGGCTATGAGGGCGTGCAACACCTTGTGGCACAAGGCCCCGAGGCAAACATTGCGCGTCCTGAGGCGTTTTCGAGCTATGAAAACGCGCTGCTAGAGCACCTGCAGCAGAAGATGTCTGCATCGTTTGCGTCTATGCCGCCACCGTCGGTGACGAATGACTTCCCCCGACCTAAGCCGCTCATGGTGAGCGTTGAGGTCTTTGAGGGGAAGGATAGAGATAATCTCCTG